TTGTTGGCCTCCGTATGGCAAGGGCTGAAAGTCAAGCTGCATGAGGTTGGCCTGGACTTCTGAGGCTCCCTGCACCCAGGGGCACTGGCAGGCCCTGCCCTGGAAGTCTCTATGGGATCCAGAGACATTTGGGCTCTGCCATGGGGATCAGACACAGCAGGCAGGAATGTGCCCAAGAGAAGAGGGAGCAGCAGTGGTGATTAAGCAGCATGGCGCAGGCCTCCCATGCTAATGGCCGGGGGTCCATAAGTACTCAGGCACACATGCGGTTGTTTCTCCTACCCGGAGCCTGACTTCCTTCTCTCCCTGCTTCAAGATGAGGGAGTTTTGGGTGGGAAGCTACCATGCCTTCCTTTATCGTCACCCTGGTTGCTGCTGGGTGAGTGTGCAAAGGCACATATGTGCATGCATTCTTATGCATAAGAGGCATGGCATGTCAGCAGGGTGGGAGGTGCCAGGTGCAAGCCAGGAAGAGTACGTGGCCTCCAGAGATGGCTCAGACTCAGGATCTGCCCCCGGAGACACTCCACTCCACACCACCCCGCAGAAGTTTTGCCAGCCTCTTTCCACATAAGACAAAGACCTTCCCTCCTAAGGGGAGGAGGGAAGGGGGACAGAGCAGAGGAAGACAAGAAACAGAGTCCACTGTGCCTCCCCTGGATCCTCCTGAGTGCTCTATGCCGTGTCCCAGAGGGCCTGCATTGCTTCCCATTTACCCAGGCTCCCCAGAGCAGCCCTGCCCCCAGGGACTGGGCAAAAGGGGGTCTGTGGGGTAGGCGCAGTGGCTCACACCTATAATCCCAGCACTATGGGAGGCTGAGAGTGGCAGGTCACTTGAGGTCAGGAGTTTGAGACCAGCATGGTCAACATGGTAAAACCCCGTCTCTACTAAAAATACAAAAAATTGGCTGGGCATGATGGTGTGTGCCTGTAATCCCAGCTACTCAGCAGGACAAGAAATGCTTGAACCTGGGAGGCAGAGGTTACAGTGAGCAGAGATCATGCCACTGCACTCCAGCCCGGTGAGACTCTGTCTCAAAAAAAAAAAAAAAAAAGGGGGGGGAGGAGGTCTGGGGAGACCACGGGATTTTTTTTTTTTTTTTTTTTTTTGAGATGGCATCTCGCTCTGTTGCCCAGGCTGGAGTGCAGTGGCATGATCCCAGCTCACTGCAACCTCCGCCTCCTGGGTTCAAGGGATTCTCCTACCTCAGCCTCCTGAGTAGCTGGAACCACAAGCATGCGCCACCACGCCCAGCTAATTTTTGTACTTTTAAAATGGAGGGCCGGGTGCGGTGGCTCAAGCCTGTAATCCCAGCACTTTGGGAGGCCGAGGCGTGTGGATCACGAGGTCAAGAAATCGAGACCATCCTGGTCAACATGGTGAAACCCCGTCTCTACTAAAAATACAAAAAATTAGCTGGGCATGGTGGCGCGTGCCTGTAATCCCAGCTACTCAGGAGGCTGAGGCAGGAGAATTGCCTGAACCCAGGAGGCGAAGGTTGCGGTGAGCCCTGATCGTGCCATTGCACTCCAGCCCGGGTAACAAGAGCGAAACTCCGTCTCAAAAAATAAAAAATAAAATAAAAAATAAAATAAAATGGAGATAGAATTTCAAAGTGCTGGGATTACAGGCATGAGTCACCGCGCCTGGCAGAGATCATCTTGAACCCTGGACCCTGCACTCCGATGTCCACCTCCTTGGAAGGGCCTCCTCCCTGAAGAATTCAATCTTTGTCCTGCCGGGCAGCAGCCAGCTAGTGCTAGCCTACCCAAAGGCACTGTCTGGGCATCAAAATAAAACCTGAAAATTGCTGCCCCTGCCCAGTACTGCAGAGCTCTGCCAAAAGGTAATTATAGGTGGCCTGGGATGGCCAGCTCTGCCTCTAGCCCCAAGCTCAGCACACCCATGGCCACAGGCTGCAGGGAGCCCTGCCCCTGCCCCTCTTGTTCTGCACCAGGCCTAGTGGAGAGTGTTCCAAGTCCCAGGTCCAGGGCCCTTCATCAGCCTACAGGCCTCCGGATCTTGGTAGTGGTCCCCTGGGGGTCTGGGTGGATTCCAGACTCTGCAGAGGGTGTGAAGAGAGTGTGGTCTCAGCTTCAAATCATAGTAAGAACAGTAACTCCAGCCCCCACGTATCAGGCACTCACTACCTACCAGGCCCTGAACTAACACTTGATGTTCCTTAACTCACAAGCCTCCCACAAAGCCCCTATGATGTGGGCACCATCATTGGTCCCATTTTACAGGAGGGAGTACTGAGGCCTGGGGAGTTTAAATGATATGCCCATGGTCACCCACAGTACCCTGGATTCTGGGCCAGACTTCACAACCACTAGGCCAGCTTGTCCCTAAAGCCACCAAGGCAAGAGTGAGACAGTTGGTGACTGGCCTGGGTGGAGTGAGACAAGGGACGGGCATGGAGGCATCAGCAGCTGGCAGGGAAGGACAGTTTCCCTTCTGAAAGCTCATTCGCCAACTGTGAAGGCTGTGCAGTCGGACTGTGTGGCCTCACGGGTGGATGTGTGGGGGGAAATGAGAGACTGCGGAAACCAAGGGCAGGCACACAGTCTGGCTCCCTCACAGCTGGCACTCTTGGCCGTGCCACCTCCCCTGGAGCCCGCAAAGATCTTCTCAGCCCAGGGGGAACCTGTGTGTCCCTGCCTGCTGTGGCCCATGCAAGACTCCCCTGCCCCCTCACAGCGTGGGAATTGGTGTGAGGTGAGGCAGGGGCTCCACCCAAGACCTCTTTGTGCTGCCCGCACTGTCCTGGGCCCAGTGGGGATCCGTAAGTCTACTGGGCCCCATCTGCTGCAACACAGACAAACTGCCTGGGCCCTAGCCAAGTTTGCTAAATGGAATTTGCCTTAAAAAACTCCCAGTCTCTGCTGACTCGTGAGGGCTGAGCTGCGACTTCCCTTGTCCCTGGGCTAAAGTCAGTCCATACTGCTAGGAAGTTCTTATGGGCATCTAACTGACTTCTCATTTGGGGTCTGTCAATTTCTATTCTCCCTGCTTCCCTTTCTGGTTCTTTCAGGGACAGTAGTAAATAGGCCATGTGTTCATATTTTTCAGCTATGCAGAAAATGGTAACTCCAAATTACTTCTGCACTGACCTCGTTAGTCAACAATGAATCTACAAACCTTTATTGAATCCCCACTCTGCTGAGTGCTGAGGAAAGGCAGGAGGAAGAGGTGGCAAATTCCTAGGTGAGCTATTGCGCCCACCTCTGTGTTTGAGGCAGATATTGCTAAGTGATCACAGCGCTTCTTGGTGAGCCTGGAGGGATACAGCTCAGAATCCTTCTCAGCACAGCTCCAGGGAGCCATTGGTGACCAGCTGGAATTGATACATCAGTTGAAACCCATTGGCCCTCCCTTTGCACCCTACCTCCTGCCAGGGATTGAGGCCAGGGTCAGGCCAGGACTTCTTGTGCAAAGCTGTCCTTGTCCTGTCCCCCCTTGCTCTGCCTGTGCCCTGATTTCTTTGTCCTCGTTCTCAACTCCTGACACAGGATGGGGAGAAGGCAGACAGGATCATCTGTCTTCTGTCTCAGGTTCCTGCAGGGCTGCAATAGCCTGGTTAGGGACGCGGGCCCAGAGCAGCACCATGCCTCTGGAGGGAAGGCGTCTGGGCTGCTGCATCAGAGCACCTTCCACAGCCGCCTCCATGCAGGACCTGAGACCCTCCCCAGGCACGTTTCTTCTCAGAGCTGCTCTGGGGCCTGGGAATCACTGGTCCTCTTACCCAGCCTCCTGCTCCCCTGGTGCCCATTGTGCATTCCTTCCTAGGTCAAGGACAAAAGCCTGACTTCTCCCTTGCCCTTTCCAGCCATTCAGACATGTAGATTAGCACCCACTGGGTACCAGGGCCTGTGGGAGGGGTGGAGGGCTTCCCTGGGCAGAAACAGGGGAGAGTCAAGTTCCCAGATGGGCAACTGAGGAAGCATTAGACTTAGGGCCAGGCAGACCGAGGTCAATCCCAGGACTGCCACTTGGGCCTGTTTTCTTGTCTTTAAAATAAGGATAATAGAAATAATAAACATAATAATGCCTATCCCACAGACTTATTTAAGGATTAAGCAAGGTAATTTATTCCATCCTTCTACATTATTTGTTGAGCACCTGTATACACCAACCTCTGCCCTCAGCTCTAGGATATGATTGCTCTCTTGGAGCTGACAGTCAGAGGGAGGGCAGACTAATCACCAGGAATCATAACAGGAGCCAAGAAATGACTGCACAGAGTGAGCAGAGCCCAGATGGGGAAGCCCAGGGACTGAGAGCGAGAGGAACCCTTGACTCCACTCAGTAAATCAAAGAAAGCTTCCAGGAGGAGGTGACTCCTGAAGGAGGAGGGAGAACGTTGTTCCAGGCCTGAGAAAAGGCTAGTCAGTGAAGATGTGCATGTGAAAGCACCCAGCACTGGGCCACAGCATTTGTTTTAAAAACACAAGGTAAGAGAAAGGCCCAGACAGACTGTCCTGAGTGCTGAATGTGGGACAGATGAACTGGCAGGATGTGTCCAGGGAGCTGCATTATTTACTGTCCCAGCTATAAAATATTTACACAGGCATCCTGATGATTTATGGTGTTTGCTTTCCTACTGTGGGCTCCTCACAGGTAAACTATGTGCCCTGCAGCTCACCCCTGGGAGGGGTCCTGGGGTGCGGGCACCATGCTCCTAACTGGGCCAGGAGGAGGGCTCTGGTCCAGCAGTTCAGACTGTTCACTCTCCTAGAGAGACTTGAGCCCCACAGGTCTGAAGCCACTGGCCCAGGCAGCCCAGGGCAGAGCCAGGAACTGGAGGGTTGGCAGGGAGGCACTAGACAGGCCCACCAGGGCAGAGCAGAGCAGCCAGTGCTATCCCACCATGTCCCTGGCTGTGTGGCCTTCAACAAGGTGTTGGATATCTTGCGTCCTGTTTTATCCCTGGTAAAATGGGGTTAGTAATCATATGATTTTGAAGAATAGATTGAGATCACACAGAACAAGGCCTGAGTTGAGCTCAGTCATGGGAAGTTTGAAATTCCTGCATGTTTAATTAAACATCTGCAAAATGTAATATTAGGACAACCTGTCAATATAGCACACCTTAACTCATATAACGTGATTCCAAAGTGTTATAATGCGGGAAGTGGGTGCATTTTAACCTACTTGGGTTGAGAGCTGAGAGTCTACAGAAGCTTTGGGACAGTGTGACCTCAGCTTCCATGGAGGGAGACCAGTAGTCTCTCACGGTGTGCACCTCTTTTGGAGTCTTTCTAGAAACTTTTCTAGAAACTGGTCCATTCTTCTTTCCTGGAGAGGAAGAAAGGAGGAGTCCTGGACAGATAGGGCAGAGCTCAAGGGGACCCCTGCCCAAGGCCAGGAGGTGCCTCCTAGTCCTCTGAGGGGAAAGGGCTCTTTATCCCCAGGCAGAAGGTGGAGCCTGGACAGCTGGAGTCGCTCCTGGCCTCACAGGGTGGCAGGTCTGGGCCCATGGCTGATGGGCTCACAGCTATGGAGAGAAGTGGGTACATGGCAGGGCATGGTAGCTCATGCCCATAATCCCAGCACTTTGGGAGGCCCAGGTGAGCAGATCACTTGAGGTCAGGAGCTTGCCACCAGTCTGGCCAACATGGTGAAACCCCGTCTCTACTAAAAATACAAAAGTCAGCCAGTTGTGGTAGTGCATGCCTGTAATCCCAGCTACTCAGGAGACTGAGGCGGGAGAATCGCTTGAACTCAGGAGGTGAAGGCTGCAGTGAGCTAGAATCGCACCATTGTACTCCAGCCTAAGCAAGAGAGTGAGGCGCTCAAAAAAAAAAAAAAAAAAAAAGAAGAAGAAGTGGGCACAGTACTACAGCACCAGTCTGGGACAGCAGAAGGAGAAGACATCGGTGGTCAGGGATGGTGAGGGCAGCAAATTCCTGGGAGGAGCTTGGATGAGCAATCAGTTTACATACCTGGGTCTTCTTCCATGGCCATCTTGGACCAGGCTGGTCAACTCCTCCACTGAACAGATAGGCACACTAAGGCCTGAAACAGGAGAGACCAGAAGGCCACATGAGATCAGAGTTGGGACAGAACCCAGGGAAATTGAGTCCTTGCCCTAAGAGTCCTAGATCTGTGGACTCTTAGAGAACCAGAGTCCTCAAAGACCATTTGGTCCAATCCCCTGCCGTGGTACGCAGAAGGAAAATGTGCCCATCGTGGGCCTGTTTGCCTCAAATCCTTCTTCATCCTTCACCCGCTCTGATCTTTGCCCATGGCAGAGGGGCCCAGCCTCTTCAGGCTACATTCCCATGCCATGTGGCCTAGTTTGGCCTGTAGGGGAAAACGGAGGAAGGCGGGAAGAGAGACACCTTAGGCAGTATTTCCAGCTGTGGCTGCATCTCCTCTGTGGCCTCAGACTCCCCTGGACAGGCCCCGTGATGTTCTAGCTTCTTCCACATGACCCAAATATCAGTCAGTAATGCTTTAGTGACAATCAGTTGATGAGGTTCCTTAAGTTCACTGCAATCTTAGACAGGACTCCACAAAGGAGGAGGCAGCTGACAAAAAGGTTAGCATGAGCCAGGGTAAGGAAGGCAGCTCTGCAAAGGAACAGGGGGCCGACGTCACTTCTCCGGACTTCAAGGCCCAATAGGGAAAGAGAAGCCATTCTAGGCATTTCAAATAGAGGGAACTGAATGTAGGGACTCCATTATACAAGTGATGAAAGAGTGGAGAAGCTATAAAGGGAATGGAAAGGCAACCCAGAAACTAGCACCAGCAGGAAGCTACCACCGCCCCCAGGCTGGAGGGACAAAGGGAGGAGGCAGTAGTTTGAAGGAGCCACACCAGAGATCAGCAGCCTGCTGGATTTTCCCCACCGTGTTTCTCAACCGGTGTTTGTGGCAGAAACTTCCCCATTGGGCACCTACTTCCCTCCCTGACTGCAGGCCCAGGGTCACAGCTGGCTAGAAAACCTGCTGCTTCCCCCGCCCGGCTTGTCTGCAAGCTGGAGAAGTTTGGGCTTGTGCTGCTGCCCCTCTGCCTCTACAGTGTCCAGAGGGAGAGCCCAGTGCCTGCTAAGCCCGATCACCAGGGGATTGGGAAGACAGTTGAGGACAGAGGTCCTCCAAGCAATGCTCCAGAAACCAGGGAGTTGAAATCTCTATTCCATCATCCAGACTCCAAACAGCGCCAACCCCTCAGGGGCGTGAGGCCAATTTTAAACAAACCGATAGGCCCTTACTAAGCGTCTGCTGTGTGCCAGACACCATTATGTTATGCTGGTTTTACCTGACTCTAAGCCTATGAGGCGGGCATTGTTGTATAGCCCCATGTTATAGATGGGGAAACAGGCTCTGCACGGTCAAGCCACTTGCCCAGGGTCCTTACTCTAAGATGAGGCTGTGCTATTTTACATTGAATCTCTCACTGCCCTGAAGTGCAGACATGGACAACCCTTGGCATTTACCATTTCAATATTTGGGGTTACAGGTGTTCGAGAGTGACCTCAAAGGTCGGGGATTTTCTGTCATTTGTAGCATGGACAAGGCATGAATTTGAGCCATGCATAGATCAAGGCTGGTGGCGGGAGGGAGTGACTGATGTGGGGGCTTAAATGAGTTGAAGGAGGCTGAGCTCTTGACCAGCACCCCCAGGGGAAGGCACGGGGGACTCTCTGGCTGTGGGGTCAGATTACCTGATCCTCTCCTATGGTTGCATGACTTTCAGCCAGTTCCTTTACCTTCCTGCCTGTAAGACGAGACACAAGCCTGACCTTGGAGGGTTCTCATGAAGGCTGAGATCATGCATGTAAAGGCTCCAGTGCTCCTGGGGCTCAGTAGCTGCTGTCAGGACCATGTCGTTGATCATGGCCTTGCAAAGGGAGGCATAATTTAGGGTTTGTGACAGGTCCTGAGGCTGAGTCATTAGGAGCTCCAAGGGCAGGCAGGGTGATTTGCGAGGGCCAGGGTAGCCAGGAGCATCCACATCAGTGAGACATGAAGTCACGCAGGCAGGAGGAGCTGGGTATGTGCTCAGAGGCTCTGGCCTTTGGGTGTGTGGATCACAAGGTCAAGAGATCAAGACCATCCCGGCCAACATGGTGAAAAATACAAAATTTTTCTCTACTAAAATACAAAAATTATTTTGTATTGTGCCTCTACTAAAAATACAAAAATTAGCTGGGCATGGTAGTGAGTGCCTATAGTCCCAGCTACTCCGGAGGCTGAGGCAGGAGAATTGCTTGAACCCGGGAGCTGAAGGTTGCAGTGAGCTGAAGTTTGCAAAGATCACGTCATTGCACTCCAGCCTGGTGACAGAGTGAGACTCTGTCTCGAAATAATAATAATAATAATGATAATAATGCCTCTGAAGCCCCTAGCCCATTTCTGACACAGGCTACAGGCTTCACTAATGTCAGCAGTTACAGTTTTTTGTTTTTTTTTTCTGAGTCAGTCTCACCCTGTCACCCAGGCTGGAGTATAATGGCACGATCTCAGCTCACTGCAACCTCTGCCTCCTAGGTTCAAGAGATTCTCCTGCCTCAGCCTCCTGAGTAGCTGGGATCTCAGGCATGCACCACCATGCCCAGCTAATTTTTTGTATCTTTAGTAGAGATGGGGTTTTACCATGTTGCCCAGGCTGATCTCGAACTCCTGACCTCATGATCCCCCCACCTCAGTCTGCCAAAGTGCTGGGATTATAGGCATGAGTCACCACGCTTGGCCTAGCAGTTACAATTATTTAACATCAGTGGTGACTATGATTTTCATGAGGGTTGGACCAGAGCTTCAGGGCATGAGTTGAAGGTGACACTTTCCCCACATCTCCAGTGGTGATTCCTGGGCCCAAGCAGCCTCAGGACCCAGTTGCTTCCCAACTTTGGCCTTCTCTGAGGAGGATTCCTCTAGCACCCACAAGGAAGAGACTTTTCTCCATCAATTCTCATCAGAATTGCATTAGGGGAATGGCAGAGGCCTCCTGACCTGGGGCACTTCTGACTGCTCCATCAGCTCCTACAGGGCTGATTAGGACATGGGTCTGGATACCTGGTTGTGAGGTGCTGGCTACATCCACCTGGCTTCAGCCGGAACGTCACTCTGCAGAGGCCCTCCCTGACCCCAACTGAAGCAGGCCTTGAGATCACATCACCTTGTCTTCCTGCCTTCAGAGTACTTATCAGGATCTAGAATTCTCGGCCCACCCTCCCGCAGTGGGAGCAAAGCTCCTTGAGGCAGGGTCTGTACCTTGGAGCCCAGCACTTAATAGAGACTGATAAACATTTGCTGAATGAATGAATGAATGACAGCCAGGGAGGCAGAAGGGGTATGTTGGGGGGAGGCAGAAGAACACTAGACAGAAGGCCTGAGTTCTAAGCCTAGCTCTGCCCTCAACAGCTGTGTGACCCTGGGCCTCAGTCTCCCAACCTGTAGCATGAGGTCTTTGGGGAGATGAGCTTCAAGACCCCTTTGAGTTCCAACATTCTGTGCCTCTGAGAGGTCCCTGCCTGCAACTCTAGGAAGTCTTCCAGCCACTGGGTAGCAGAAAGTTGCTGTGACAAATGCAAGCAGGTCTATTTTGAAATATTTTCTGATTGGCTGTGCCTGGGCCATGAGTGAGTAAGCCTAGAGAATTCTCCCTTCTCCCTTGTGTGCGGCCACCTCCCCAAGCACATGACTCAGGGCACACATACACATAGTACCACAGCACTCACAGGAACACATGCACACACATTCACATACTCTGTCTCTCACACACACGTACACACATATACACACACACAGAGTTATACCTGCATGCACACCCTCCACATACAGTTGCCCATATATGGTCACACAAGCACACCACACAACACAGGTGAACACACACACATATGTACTCCTGTACATCCTCACTCATACACATTCTTACACATGCGCACACTCACCCTCATGAACACAGGCATACAATCACATACATTTGTACTCACACATGCTTACACACTCATTTGCACACCATATATGCGCTAACTTGCATCCCTCACACCCACACATGCTTACACAATCACTCACGCTGGCACAGGCTCACACATGTTCAGCTAACTCACATGTGCATTAACACACTCACACACATACTCACATGCTCAACCAGCATATACACCCTCCTACAGGCACACACCCTCACACAAAGCACACATACCCACTCACACACTCACACTCATCTACACATTTATATTTACTGCCCCACCCGCACGCTCATGTAGTCATGCAAACTCATTTGGTCACACACACATGCACACACACACACTTACATACCCTCTTCTGCCACACAAGCTCCACCCCGACCCTTGGGCAGATTGCCCCTCCAAGCTCCCCAGGCCAGGCCTCCTCTGATGGCTGCTCCCTGTTCTCTTTTCCCTCTTGGTTCTATTTATTTTTCTTAGCTATGATGAGCATATTTGGAGAAGGATCTATTTTCATCTTATCTGGAAACATATTTCCTCTCAGTCATGAGCTCGGCAGATCAGTGAGAAGACTCCTGGCTGCTGTGGTGTGGGCTGGGAGGGCTGAGGCCAAGCCAGGATGGAGGCCAGAAAGCCACAGAGGCGGCAGGGCTTCCCAAGATGGTCTGGTAGCCTGAGCCAGGGCCACTGCCTCTGAAATCCTTTTTGGGTAACCCTGGAGTTCAGGGCAGCTGCTCCCCATAAACGTGGCTGTGTCTCAGGGAGTCTGACCTCCCTCTTTCTTTCTTCTATCTGACCTGAGGGTGCTCCTGGCTCCTTAATGTTGCTTTTTTTTTTTTTTTTTTTGAGACAGAGTTTCACTCTTGTTACCCAGGCTGGAGTGCAATGGCGCGATCTCGGCTCACTGCAACCTCCGCCTCCTGGGTTCAGGCAATTCTCCTGCCTCAGCCTCCTGAGTAGCTGGGATTACAGGCACGTGCCACCATGCCCAGCTGATTTTTTTTTGTATTTTTAGTAGAGACGGGGTTTCACCATGTTGACCAGTATGGTCTCGATCTCTTGACCTCGTGATCCACCCGCCTCGGTCTCCCAAAGTGCTGGGATTACAGGCGTGAGCCACCGTGCCCAGCCCTTAATGTTGCTTTTTTTAATGAAGGAGTAGAGCCTTTATAGATCATCTTGTCCCTCTCGGTTTTTACATGACAAAAGAAATAATGCGTTCTATTCAGTGAACATTTCCTCTGCCCCAACCTGTGCAATGCTCTCTGCATGCAAGAGTCCTGGCAGCCTCATAACTGCCTCAAGAGGTTGCGCTATTCATTCCATGAATAAGAAAACAGGCTCAGAGAGGTCAAGGCACGCATAAGGCACACAGCAGTGGGGGCAGAACAGGATCCCTCTGTCTTCCTGTTGCTCAGGCCCCAGCAGCCCTACTGTCTCTAGCACTCACCCTGCAGAGTTGCCTGCAGATGACTGGGGACTGAAAGGCTGGCCTTGGCTGGGTGGTGAGTTTAAACTGGGACTCCCAAGGGTGCATATCCAGGGGGTGCCTGCTCTGTTGGTGGCCTGGGTGGCTGCCATGTGTGGGTAGCTTCTAGCTGTCAGATATCGATGACACTGGTGTTGGGTATGGCAGGGCAGGCCTTTGGGAGGGCGGATTGCACAGACAGAGACTCTGAAACCCGAAGCCTTTGTCCAGGCTGTACCTCCTCCCCTTTAGAACCAGTGTCCCTTCCTTTACACACGTGCTCCCATGTGGCAGCCCTGGGAAGCAGAGAAGCAGAGCAGGGTAGGGTAGGCCTTCGTGCCCCAGGCAGAGCCCCTGGCTTTGTGCGCCCTTTCCTGTCCCCGTGTATGTTGGCACACAGGAGGTGCTCAGTACATGTCGGCTAAAATCAAAAGGATAAAACAGTGAGCTAAGGATTTAAACAGGCACGTCTCCAAAAAAGATACAGAAATGTCCAATAAGCTCATGAAAAGATGTTTAACGTCACTAGACATTAGGGAAATGCAAACCAAAACCACAATGAGATACCACTCCATACCCAGTAAGATGGCTATAACCAAAAAGATGGACAATAATAACCAAAATGATGGACAATAATAAGTATTGGTGAGGACGTGGGGACACCGGGACCCCTATACACTGTTAGTGGGAATGTAAAGTGGTTCAGCCGCTGTGGAAAACAGCCTGTTTAACACAGAGTTACCACAGGACCCAGCAATCCCACTCCTAGAGAATTAAAAACACACGTCCACACGAAACCCTGTATACAAATGTTCACAGCAGCATTATTCCTAATAGAAACCCAAATGTTCATCAACTGATGAATGGAAAAACATAGTATATCCATACAGTGGAATATTACACAGCCTTAAGAAAGGAATGAAGTGCTGATACATGCTTCCACATAGATAACCTTCAAAAGCATGCCAAGTGAAAGAATCCAGATGGAGACAACCCCATTCTGGATGGTGCCTTTTATATAAATGTCCAGAATAGGCAAATCCAAAGAGACACAAAGTAGATTAGTGGTTGCCAGAAGTTGGAAAGAAAGGAGTTTGGGGAGTGACTACTAAAGCGTATGGGGTTTCTTTTGGAATTAGATGGTGGTAATAGTTGTACAACTCTGTAAATATAATAAAACTCACTAGATTGTCCACTTTTAAAAAGTGAAAGAGAGAGGAAAGGAAAGAAAGAAAGAGAGAGAGGGAGGAAGAGAGAAGGAAAGAAGAAAGAAAGAAAGATGAAAGAAAAAGAAAGAAAGAAAAAGAAAAGAAAGAGAGAGGTAGGGAGGAAGAAAGAGAGAGAGGAAGAGAGAAGGAAAGAAGAAAGAAATAAAGAGGGAAAAAGGGAAAGAGAGAGAGGGAGGGAGGGAAAGAATGAAAGAAAGAGAGAGGCTGGGCGCAGTGGCTCAAGCCTGTAATCCCAGCACTTTGGGAGGCTGAGGCGGGAGGATCACGAGGTCAAGAGATCGAGACCATCCTGGCCAACACGGTGAAACCCTGTTTCTACTAAATATACAAAAATTAGCTGGGCGTGGTGGCGTGCGCCTGTAATCCCAGCTACTCGGGAGGCTGAGGCAGGAGAATTGCTTGAACCCAGGAGGCGGAGGTTTGCAGTGAGCAGAGATTGTGCCACTGCACTCCAGCCTAGCACCTGGCGACACAGTGAGACTCTGTCTCAAAAAAAAAAGAAAGAGAGAGAGAAAGAAAGGAGAGAGAGGGAGAGAGAGAGAAAGGAAAGAAAGAAAGAGGGAGGGAGGAAAGAAAGAAGGGGGAAAGGAAAGGAGAAAAGAAAGAAGTACTGAAGCTCAAAAGAGTCTCTGTGGGGATGGAGATGGAGGTCCAGAAATATTAACTGCTTTTCCACGGTCACACAGAGAAATGATGTCAGCCCTGTTGATGCAAATACTATAAAAATGACACTAACAGATTCTAGTTGTTAAGCATACTCATTCTATGTGCCTGATGGTGTGGATGTTTCCACATTCATTGTCTCATTCATTTCTCACCACAACCCTAGACATTAGGGAAATAATATGGTGAGTATTGTTATTATCCTTATTTTTACAGATGAGGAAGTGGAAGCTCAGAGAGGTGAAGCGACTTGCCCAAGAGGCACTTGAGCTTACTAATCCCAAGATTAGTCCATCTCCAAATGGCGGGGAAATGGTTCTGAGGGACCCGGTGGTGGTTGTTGTTTTGAGACAAGGTCTGGCTCTGTCGCCCAGGCTGGAATGCAATGGTGCCATGTCTGCTCACTGCAACCTCTGCCTCCTGGGCTCAAGCCATCCTCCCACCCCAGCCCCCTATGTAGCTGGGACTACAGGTGCACACCACCATGCCCAGCTAATTTTTGTATTTTTTGTAGAGATGGGGTTTCCTCATGTTGCCCAGGCTGGTCTCAAGCTCATGAGCTCAAGGGATCTGCCCACCTCGGCCTCCCAGTGTTGGGATTACAGGCATGAGCCACCGTGCCAGCCGTTGTTTTTTGTTTTTATTTTTTGTTTTGTTTTGTTTTTTACACGGCAACCCGCATCCTCAATGCAAGAGGAAAGGCAGGAATGCAAGTTGGTGGTACTGCATCTGACAGGTGCTCAGGGCTCAGGGAGGGACCTCCTGGTTCCCGGCAATATGCAGGTCTCCAAGCTGGGACCCCAGCCCTCTTGGGGCAGGTGCCTGTGAGTAGCTTTTGAGAAACTGGCCCAGGAGAGTCTGGAACAAATCTCCATGCTGGGCTGTTGTTTTCAGGGGCAGGAAACATAACAGGTGCTCATGATGGGGGCCTCAGCTGGCTGTCGCCCAAATTTTCTGGGTGTTTGGATAAATAAGAGCTACCTCGTTTCACCTCTTTGTGACCTTTCTATGTGTGTAGCTCCAGGTCACAAGTTCCAAGGCTTGGGGACAGTCCCTTCCCATCCAGCGCAAAAAAAACCCTGATCCAGGCCATCCCTGAATGTGCCAAGGGCACTTTCTCACCAGGAGGTTTTGGAATTGCTGATGAGCAGCTTGTAGAAACGGTAAAGCAGGCCTCTGGGGACCAAGAGCATGGGCTCCACCCTGGTTCTGCTACCTCCTGGCTAGGTAACCTGAGCAAGTCACTTCACATGTCTTCATCTCAGTTTCTCCATCCGTAAAACAGGGACAATAGCTCATATGATCATTATATACTATTGCAATCTCACCTCCTAAGATCGAAGAGATTAATTGGAGTGATGCATGGAAGGACGAGGCCTGACTCAGGGGAAAGATTCTGCAGTATCAACCACGATTACAGTTACGGGGCCCACGGACCCAGCGTTCGAGAGCCTGAAGGCTGACCCTAGACCAGCACACGTATTTCTGTACTTGCAGCCAAGCACATCTTCATAACCCCCCACACTACATGCGCTGCATGTGACCTTGCATTCCCGCTTTCACATCCACACTCACGTGTAAACTCACAAGCATGTCCATTCATATGCAGGGAGACATCCACCCACACATGAACACTACCCATCTGAAAGCCGACTTTAGCAAATGGGCCTGCATACACATGCAAATGCGCACTCACTTTCCCCCATGCACCTGAACGTATGCATCTGAATTTGTATTCATCCGCATACACATGTCCACAACTATGAGCCTGCTCTTCTCAGGACCACCAGCTCAGCACTGGCCACTGACTGGTGAGTGGAAGAACCTCTGCACTCCGGAGCAGCCTCAGCCAACTCCTGGGTCCTCCAACAGGCTCGGCAAGTTCCTGCCTGTAAATCTTCATTGTTACTGTCCTCTCTGCCTGGCATGTCCCTCTTTTTGACTAAGCCCTTTCACCCCTCAAGATTCACTTCAAAAACATCCCCTACGGGAAAGCTTCCCTGATTCCCCAGCCAAAAAGATCTGCCCCCTGACCCCTATGTTCCCCCTGTGGGTTTTTACTACCTCAGCGTGCCTGGCATCAC